TTTTTTTTTTTTTTTTTTTGTAGAGAAAGAATAATGTAATAAGTTCGCGCAAGACGGAATAATTGTCTCGCCTTATTCGTAGGTGCTTCAAGAATCGTACGGAACGCACACGCCAATATGGGTATTCACTGTGATTACTTTCCTCATATGGTTGTTAATTTATCGATACGTGCCGGAGACCGAAGGGAAGACCTTGGAGGAAATACAAATAGAATTGTGAGGGAGGAGCTTCCAATTTCTGTTGACTCGATTCAGCGTTGTGAATTTATTTAATAAAGAATGAACGATTCCTAAATATACGTGTAGAACTAATGTAATGTATATGTTTGAACTAATGTATATGTTATATTTTATAGCGTTATTTGTGAATGTCAATATGTACGTATATGGCGTGCAGAATAGAACTTTGAGTTACTCCGCAATATGAAAATTCCTAATATGGAATTTAGTCGAGCTTTGAATATTTAGAGGAAATTAGTGATTCATCTGGAGATGTTCTAACTTTAATGAGAGTTCCAACGGTGTTCGATGTATAATAATCTCTTGTCTTCGGGAAATTGCGAATTAATGACGGCATATTGTTGGATTAGAAAGATGATTTTCCGCTAATTAAAATCTTCAACTGTTCGGCCAGCTGATCGAATAATCAAATCTATTCGTGTAAATAAGAAACGTACACGACCTGAATTGAAGAAAAAAGAACAAAGATAGAACCTGGGACGATAATTCTATACTTTAATCTTTCTCTTAATTTATATAGAAAAATGAAAACGAATATTCACTTAAATATCATTTAATTCTTCTAGAAACGAGTCTGCGATACTGCAATTATCAATATTTATGCACACTCGTACGTTTGCGAAGAGATCGTGAACTCGAGACAACAGTTCTTTCATCTCAGTCTTTAAAAACTTAGTTACAATACTGAAACATCGATTTGCGTTCAGAAATCTCAAGCTATATAACAATTGCGCGAAACCATGAAATCGACGAACTCAACCCTATTAAAAATGGCCTGTAATAATCCAAAACTCCAAACAAACCGTGACGAATTACAACACATTGGCGATGACTGAGCTTTTCAGTACCAAGGGGACGAAAAATCAAAGAATTAGAGTTAAAAGCCAAAGCCAAATTAAAATTAAAAATTCCAATCAAAAGCAAAAACGGATAAGATAAATAAGATAAATCTTATTCGCCAGAAAGTGTTGAACGACGCGAAAGATCAAATACATTACAGTGTAACGTGAGTATTTCAAACTACAGTCATTGCTGAAAAGGGAAGTACACGAAACTCGCGTTGCCGGTCAACGTGTTAATATCACGGCCACAAAAGTATCAAAAGGAGGAACGCGTATGTGGAATTGCAAACCGATTACGTAAACAGCAGGGCTACACGCGATCGTGGAAAGTCCGCGTGAGAAAGAGAGAGAAAGAGAAAGAGAGGCGGAAGAAGAAAAAGGAGGAAGAAGAAAAGCGGGAAAAAAGAAGAACCAGTGGAAGAGTTGCGGGGGAGGGGGTCGGTGATCAATACCGACGTGCTCTTGATTCCCTCGGAATCAGGCACGACGGAGAGGGCAAACTGTAATTTCGACAAATTACACTCGAAACTGCGTCAGAGGTTGGGTGGGAGGAGTGGTTGAAAGAGGACCGTGGGACTCGTTTGATCGCGAAGTTCGCTGTCTGTAAAGAGAATCGTTAAGCAGCGATATCGCTGGCGTTGAGTCCCTTCCTCTCCCTCCTTCTCTCTCTCTCTCCCTTCCTCTAAACTATTTGAGTTTCTGTTTAAAAAACGCGCGTGCCGCGTAACCGAACTCCGTTGGAAACGCGACGCTGCAAGCTTTCTCGTTTCGTGTTTATTTAGAGCGGGCTGCCGAGGATTTGTTTGCGCTCGCCGCGTCATACGAAATTTTCCCGGGCCAGTGTACACACTTTACCTCCTCCTCCTCTTCCTCCTCCTCCCTTGCACCGATCTAGCGAGCTCTGATGATCTTTTTGCCTCTTTTCCTCTTCTCCTACCCTCCTCCCCGCGCCCACTTTTTCCCTCTTCTGTTGTTTCCCTTCTTGCGTTTTGTGTATTCCTCTGTTTATTTCCTTGTTGCTTTCGTTTCCGGTTTTGTCCGTTGGTTTACTATTAGCAAGGTTTGGACAATTCGAGCGCGTTGTCAAAGTATCGCGCGACCGTTTCGGAATTGGCTGCAGT